GGCTGTGTTTTTAGAGAATGAACCATTCAACACGCCGTAGATTTATTGAATGATATGTTAAATAATGTCGATGATAGGACACTCCCCGAACCACCACCTAAACCAACTCCAAAGAAGAGAGGTATTCTATTCCCTCAACATCCTACCCAATGCAGTGATAGGAGTTCCTCCACGACCAATCACGGCAATAGTGTGAGCGAGGCCTCCTCTCAACACTCGTGAGAATACTAACTTGAACATGAACAAGAACATATTGGATTGCTTGGTAATAATTATTCTAATCATAAAAGAATTCATATGTATCCTTGAGAACAAATACATCTACTCAAACATAAAGAAGAGGGTCAAGTTACAAGATGGCATCATGCCAGTGAAGGGAGGTGATGATGGTGGTGAGGATGATTGTGGCGGCGACATGGTGAATATGGTGATGATGGCTCTGGCGTGGTGGAGAGGGCAGCAGCCCAAAGGCCGGTGCTTGCGTGGTGGAGACTCCTCCTCTTCCTCTTGATCTCGTCCCTTCTTCTATGGTGGTGATGGATCAGCAATCGCGATGAACTTGGATGTGTTCTTGATGAATGAGATGAGATGACGGTGGCTAGGGATGAGGAGGTGTATATAAGGAGCCTCCCTAGCCTCCTCTCTTGATGGGCTTCATCCAAGGGCTCAAGCTGAGCCTTATCGTCTCCCAATCTCTTCTTTGCGTGCCAAGGATCCCATGGGATCGAATGGTGACAAAATCAGTGAAGAATCTTATCTAGAAGGGCAACTTTCGGAGTTGTCTGCATGTCATATGATTGTCGAAACAATAGCATGCGGTCGCATGGAACGCCGTCTTTTGATCTAACCTCGTCTAACAAAATGGTCATCATTTCTGCATACAAACTCAAAATTTGACATTCTTGGGCTCATTGGATTTGTACGAATGACACCGATCCATTTCTGGTCTTAGATATTGATTTGGATAAATTTGGAAAAAATGACTTTTTCCAACCTTCAAAATGGCTAAGTCTGACCCCTGGCTGACTCCGTATCGAACCCATCCTTGATCCTTTCATCGTGCTTGGTCCTAGGTTGCTCCAAAACACCTGTAGACACAATAAAATCAAAATACTAATAAAAATACTAAATATGCAATGCTCACAAGGAAAAGTGTAGATATCGATAATCATGCATAATGGACAACTATTTGGTTCAATGGGACATGATATATGAAGAGAAAATGCAACAAATGAGCTATAAAATGTGTAAAATATAGAGCCATCATAGGCCACATTGCATAAACGTTTTCACACAAAAATTGTGTGTGATGGACAACCTACGCCATACAATTTCCTCTAGGCACCGTGTGTGATGCATTTAATAATGAAAATGATAAAATTATGAATATTGTCTGTCATGGCAACGTTATCATAGACGATGTGATGTGGAAAATTGTGTGTGATGTACACACGAATGGAAATGTTTGTTTCGGATTCACTGTGTGGGTTGCTAAGAACATTTCATATGATTTGTTATGTATAATTGTCCGTGATGGCTCGTCCGATCACACACAAGCTCTTTTTGCCCCGCGTGTATGAGTGGATGAACTACCGTCGATGATTTCTAGGCCGTGTGGGATGGACCCCCCTATCGCACACACAAGCAAGGCAACGGTTTAAAACTGCGTCGCGGAAAGGGGGTAAAAATCGTTTGTATAAGACCCGCCTGCACAATTGGTATCTTCTCGCACGAGGTATTCCTCCACCATGAATAACCAAAAGAAGCATGACATATGGTATTATGCTTATCAAGCCCAAACCTGGATAAAACCCTTGTTTGACCTTTGATCTAAGACTTCCAACGGCGCTTGGACCCTTACTCAGGGATCTGACGGTATTTCGCATTGTCAGCCATCTTCCTTGCCGTGATTGCCATGTCTTCCAGACCCCGCCTTCTAGAGAGCCCACATGCCGAGATAACGACCCAAGGCATATACCAACCTAACGGCCATACGCCGGCCTGCTAGGCTGACTTTCAGTATGGTGAGGGTCCCCTAAGTCGTAACATTGTCACCCGTGAGGGGGCCTATGTTCTTATTGAACACTAGCAACCCCTCCCTCTTCCACACACATTCGAACACTAGCCACTCTATACTCTACTTTGTTGTTGTCACATTGAAGTGCATTAACTCCAACTTGACCGCTCACATTCTCGCAAGTTCTAGAAATGAACAAGGCAAGAGGAGCAAGAAACAAGAGAAGAAAGAAAAATTGTCATGCAAAACATTTTCGTATTGCCATATTTGAAAAATCATATGTATATATAAGCACATATGTTTCTATGCCAAATTAGCATTGTTGTTTTTGGAATATATTTTTACATGGAATCCAGATGTTTACATATAACTTTATTATTTTGGTGACATGCCATTGTTTGTTGTGTGAACATAAACGAGTTATATTTTGAGTCGTCAATATAAATCATGTGGTCTTCTCACTCAGTACCCATACTATATATTTTGCCGGTGATGCCTTCCCTTCCCAAACAACCGTAGTACCATCTAACATCCACAGAGCGCCACCACCTCTCCTCTAGGACCGGCAAAGTCCGCTGGTCCTAACCTCCTGACCCCGCCTCGCCGTTCGTATTGAACCCATCTCGTCTTCTTCTTTGCCGCTTCCATTGACCTTCCATCACCATCATATTCATGTGCTCCTCTGCCTATCGTCACATCACCGAAATCGAGATAATCTCTAGTAAGAGGAGGTGAAGATTCCAAGCAAAATTTCCCTTTTCATCAAGTGAGGTTTCCTCACCGAAAGTAGTACTCCCCCTTTTCAAAACACATGAAAGATTGTTAATGTTTTTCCTTTGCGCAGTACTATCGAACAAGCAATTTTGGCCGATCAACCGATCCACCTCTACCAGTCCAAAGTCATGGATCAAATAAGTAAATTTAACGATGTCAGTATCTAGTGGTGAGAAATCCACCGTCCGTCGCTGCTTCTAGCTAGATTCGTGCGTGTGGACCTCACAAGACTCTTATTTCCGCCAACAATTCCCGAACACAAGATCAATACAATAGGAATATGAGGTGGACCCCACACGAGATAATATCAAACCCGCGTCGCTCTCTTTTTCCACATCCAACTCTCTTTCCCCCTCCCTTTCGCCTGTTCCTGTTGGTCGCTATACCGACGACGGCACGCCTATACCACGAGGTCAGCAAGGTGAGACGCCGGATCACGTCGGCGAAAGACAGATCCACCGCCGTGGGCGTTGGGGAGACCCGCTCCAGCGTTATTCCACCACATCAGCCACCAAGCAGGACGGGTCAACGAGCAGGAACATCACCGGATCCGGCAAGTCCAAGCATGTCCGCGACCAGATCTGGTTAGTCATGAAGCCCACGAGCAGATGCAACCACCCCCGGGTAAGCAGAACCCCCCTAATATCTTTATCTCTATGTTTATTTCCTGATTTTTGTTTTATGGTACATGTTTTGAGATCCCCCCCTTGCTTCTTCACTAGATAGACAACTCCCCTGCTTGTGTGATATATGTAACTATTATATTTGATGGAAGTGAAGGTGCCAAATTGAAATTGATGGGAAGATCAATAGCAGATTGTGTGATATATGTGATATTGTTGTTCCAAAATTGAAATAGATATGTAGATATGTCGAACTTCTACATCTGATGTGAAATGCAGATTTGTGAAACTAACACCCATGATGTGAAGCGCAATTGTAGTTGGAAAAAAAATTGGTTGAAATGCAATTTTTTCAGAAATTGGAATGCATGTTTCTATTTCTGAAACTGTTGTTTCTTCATTATGTGAATGAGAACTTTTAGGTTCATTTTTTAAATGGTTTATGTCAGTACTTTAAAATAATCAGTTTCACTCTTTTCTGCAATATGATATTCAAATAACTGAAATACACTTCGTTCATTTAGAAGTGAAAATATAGTGAAACTCGTATGCGTATGAAATATTTCGCGTATTAAAATTAAAAAACCATGTCACTCTTTTGTATAATCAGTTTCACTTTTTTGTGATTTTTTTATGAAATTACTTGTCTGAAATATTTGAAATTGGTATTTCTAAGTGTGTATGTTGTTATTTCAGTCTGATCTTTATTGAAAAAGTTGTTGAGATATGAATTGAAATTGTTTGTGTCACATTAGCTGCAATGAATTTCACTCTTTTTGAGTAAAATTGAATTTGGAATAGCTAAAATCACCTTTTTTTTAAGAAATTGAAATTGTTTATGTCACCCATTTGAATAGCCAGTTTCACTTATTTGTGACAATATATGAAATTACTTTTCTGAAATATATGAAACCGGTATTTCTTACATGTTTAATTTGTTATATTAGTGTGATTTGTATTGAACAAGTTATGGTAATATAAAGTGAAATTGTTTGTGTCAATTTTTTTTCTTATATGTGTAATTGGAATAACGGAACTCATGATGAAATCTAAAAAGATTGAATTTTTTTTTTTGCTATTTCTGTAGTACACTCCTTTTTTGAAATAATAAGTTTTGCTGAAACTATTGAAATTAGTTTCTAAAATGAATGAAATTAGTTTGCTGGAATAATAAATATGTGATAGAAAGAATTCAAACCTGTATTGTTACATTTACTGAAATAGAAATTGATATGTGTATCAAAGTTAATAAAACTGGAAGTTTAAAAATGTGAAACAAAAACTGATACGTGTATCAATTCTTGGGCAGGATTTCAAATCAGTTTAAATTGAGAGAGGTTGATCCTTTTAAATGCACGCATGTACGAGTGTGAAATGAGAGACTTGACTCGGTCTCAGCCGTATGCTTAAAGCGAGTGGCATGGCCGAAATCACGATGGGCCCCAGCAATTTAAATGCAGTTGCTTCAATGAAGAAAATAGTGAAATACAGAGATACAACAAAGAACAGGTTTTGAGTTGGCAGGATTCTATTGGTTGGTCAACCACCGCTAGCTGCTGGCTCTGGTATAAAGCACTTTGCGAGTCATGGATCCCAATGTCGTCGCTATCTCTCAAGAGTCAAACTCCTCGTCTGACGCCATCCGGCTCACGGTACAGAGCATCGACGGCAAGAAGACCGTGGTCGTGGCGGGTCCACAGGACACTTTAGGCGAGGTGCTCGGTCGCTTCGTGGACGTGGGACCCAGGAGAAGAAGCGACCTCCACGCCGTGCACGAGTGTCGGAACCTCCACCTCGAGGCGAAAATCAACGAGCTTGACCTCCCGCGCGGCGCCACTTTGCACTTAACCCGATATCCCGACGCATGGAGCCTCGCATCTCAGATTGCCGCGGCGGCCACAACTGACATGGACGTCTCTAACGAAACTGCCGAGTTGTTCAAGAGGTTCATACATGACGGTGAAGTCCAAATTGATCCACTGGCGCGGCATCTTGGTGTACCCAACTGCTCATCGTGGACCGACTTTGAGCATGTCACCAAGATGCTTTACACCAGGGACATCGTCCTGCTCGTCAAGAAGTTCCTCGCAAGCGCCAAAGCTACCAACGAGAGACAAGCAGGGACGGCCGTGGAGTACCTCGACGTCCTCCTCCGCAGCGGTGTCATCGGGGTTCTGGTCCGCCTCTACTCCTCCGGCTCTATGCTGCATCACTTGAGAGCCAATTCGGCGATCATCTGCCTCCTGTATCCGGAGATAAGCGGCATACTCCCTCGCCTTGAGGTGTGCTTTCTCCCACTCTGGTTGGAGTTATGTCGGTTGATACCCGCCGCCTCCGGCAAAGGCAGAAGCGACCCGCTCTATGAGAAGTGTAGGCACAGGCTGGCGGCGGTGCTCTCTTTGTTCGAGCGGACGCCGTCGCTACGCATGCCGAAGATGCCTCAAGAGTGGTTGATCGAGCGGTTAATACCAATTGCCAAAGATGCGACGGACGTGATCATTCGCTACATGGCAGCAGGGTGGGCGGCCCCGGATGATAAGCTCTTTGTGTTCAGAGTATTGTTTGCACTGGTGTGCTACTTCCGGCGCCGGGAGGTTTACGCACAGCGCAAGGACGGTCCTGTGGGAGCGGTGCTGTCCCGGACGGCGATGTCCCTGCTGATTTCGGTCAATGCATTCATGACGAGGTTGGAGGGAGCCTCGCCGTCGAAGGAGCAACAGCAGCAGGACGCGACTCACAACATCTTGCCGGGTTTGGCGACCTTGGAGCAGCACCAGCAGGATACGGTTGACAGCATCTGGGTGGTGCTAGGCCAACTGGATATGTGGTCCGTGACGGACTGCCACTTGGCCGGCGCCATCCGGGCCACCTGCACGGCGCACGCGGCGTGCCTGAATGCGCTCGTGCTCGGCACCAGCGCCGACAGGAGCCGGTGCAAGGACATCGGCCGGATTGTCGTCAAGCACAAGGACCTCCTCGGGTTCGAGGTGCGGATGCATTTCGCCAGAGCGATGCTGCCGGAAATGGACGCAACGTCGTCGGCGTTCATGCTGTTTGACGATGAGCCTCATGCGCTCGAGATGCTCATTGATCGGTCGCAGCTGCTGCCCGACTCCTTCAGATATGTCTCCGAGGCAGCGAGCCACGTGCTCCATGGCCGCCTGTTCGTGGAGTTCCTGGACGAGGAGGCCCTTGGCGAGGGGGTAGCAAGGGAGTGGATCTCCCTGGTGTGTCGCGCGTTGTTCGACCCGCGGCACGGCCTCTTCTCGCCCTGTCCGCGTGACCAGCAAAGGTTCTTCCTGAATCCAGGTGAAAACATCCTGTTTAATTTTCTTTACTTCCTTCATTATCTAGAAAATACATTCAAAATCAAATTCCATTTTTCGTGACTAATGTATTCAATCGTTCATTGCGACTGGAAGCAGCATCTGGAGCGGATCCACTGCAGCTGAAGTACTTCGATTTTGCGGGACGGATGATCGGACTGGCCCTGATGCACAATGTCCCGGTGGGGGTTCGGTTTGACCGGACGCTCTTCTTTCAGCTAGCCGGGAGGCCTCTCACCCTGGATGACATTGCAGACGCAGACCCAAGCACGCATGCAAGCTGCAAGAAAATCCTAGAGATGGATCCTGATCTCGTCGATTCAGACGCGCTGGGTCTCACATTTGCGAGGGAAGTTGGGGTATTTGGCTCAGGGGAGGTCATCGAGCTCCTTCCGGGAGGGAGAGATATCGCTGTCGATAGCAAGAACAGAGGCCAGTACATCGAGCTGTTGATCCAAAGTCTCTTCATGGCCAGCACCAAAGATCAACTAACTCATTTCGCTAAGGGGTTTTCCTACATGCTCGTAAAGCCGGAGTTGCGGAAACTTTTCTTCCTGAGCTTGCATTTGAAAGATCTTGACAGTATGCTGGGCGGGCGCATCGGCGCCATTGATGTGCAGGAATGGAAAGAATATACCAGATATGAGGGGGGGTTCACCCAACAAGATGATCAGATCAACTGGTTCTGGGAGGTATATGATCTCTCCAATCTTAGTTTATTCGTTGCTCTAGAGTTTACTACCATGTTCCAGTGCAAATTTTATACTAATTGAAATCCTCATATTTCTAGGTCGCATGAGAATAGTTCTTTTTTACATCATACCAAGTTGTAATAAATTTTAACAGTTTATCTAGACATTAGTCACATGAAAATGAAATCCGGGTCATTCGATTTCTGTTGGGAAGGAAGCACGAGGCACGCGAAGCACCGAGACCATCGGGGATAGGTTTCATCTTGTCTATATTAGGGGTATCGGGGGTGCAGGTTTGTCAGGGAAGCAGCAACCTCGGTTTCTATCTTAAAGGTCTGGGGGATACAGGTTCTTCGGGGAAGCAGCAGCCTCAGTGTGTATCTTAGGGGCGCGGTTGCAGGTTCGCCTGGAAATTCCAGATGGTTCGCAGGATTAGAGGGACGACCGAGGGTTGTGGCAAAACCGGCAGTGGGAGGAGGTTGAGGGGAGCGCGGGGCAGCTAAGCAATCCCTGGAGCATCGCTGGAGGAGGCATGCAGTTAGGCCTGAGCTGGATCGGCGGCATTGAGAGGAAGAAGAGAAACATTGCGTACTGATTCGAGGTTGAAGATGAAGTATTGTTTGTTGAATCTTTGACCAACAGTTGAGATAATAGGGGTGAAATCGACTGACCCTTGCAAATTTTCAGGCTGCTAGCGCCTATCTGCTCCCCAAATTTTAAAATGTGCAACTACTTTATTTCTGTTCGAATACACTTCCCAATAAAAAAACTTAGTTTTTCTTGGATATGTTTTTCTCAGATAAGGCAAGATTTCACTCACTCTTAAATTTGCATATTATGTTCTTTGCAACTAGTAATAGCCACCTCCTATTTTTATCTCACAGGCCGTGGCGAGCATGATGGTTGAAGAGCAGAGACGATTGCTCTTCTTCTGGACCTCTGTCGAGTATTTGCCATTTGACGGTTTCCGTGGGCTACACCTAGGTAGTGGTCTAGTCATATCTAAAGCATCATTGAAGACCTCGGAGCATCTCCCTTCATCGTCCACCTGCTTTTACCGACTGAACATGCCAGTGTATACCTCCTTCTCCATGACGTTGAGCCGGCTACAGAAGATCACCCAGGAGCATGTGAGCAACAGCTTTGGTGAGATCTAATCTTCGATGCTGATCTTATCCGCGAAAGAACTCAAAAGGTGTTCACATGTATTTTGACACTAAATTAAGAGTGAATTTTAGTTTCCCCCCTAATTTGACAGTTGTGACATTAATCAACCCTTTAGTATAATTTCATTCGTTATATCTCATTTAGGAAAAGTGCGTCAGTTTTACCCCCTTCTACTTTTGTGAGCATTCGAAATGACAGTTTCCGGCTCTCGGGTCCGTCTGGCATGAGTCAAATGGCCGGTTTTCACAATGGGTGTAACTTGAGACGCGCCTATAGCTTTTTCTTTCCCCTCTCGCAAGACGAGGAGAGAAAGCCTTCCTCCCATTGGTCTCTGCCGGCGAATCCGTGGATTCGCCTCCCCTCCGCCTGCCACTCTGTCGGTCGATGGCAGGGAGGATATTCCTAGTGCCACGGCTTAGATAGGTAGGGTTTTAGTTCTCGCAGGGGCGACGCTCGAGCGGATGGTGATGCTTCTTCTTCGAGTCAGTCTTCTGAGTTTCAATACTTCTCAAGTTCGTTCATTGGGACGAATTAGACGGAGCTCCGGTGTAGATTCTTGCAAGCTCCTTGGAGCGGTGAGGTTAGAGTTTCTTGTCGTGCGTACGCAACGACGAGATTTGGTGTGAGGTTCTTCACATCTATTCAAGAATTCAACTACGACAATTGCGGCTCTGGGACGCTGGTCCCTAGGGGCACGTGAACGAAGACTTCCCTGCTGTCATCAACAAGATCAGCCCGGCTCTGGTATGGGAACGGCGACGGCGGCGCGTCGGCGGCTCATTCTGGCGGAGGTCAGGCTGTGCATTCGGTTTTTTCGGTTTGATTAGGTTCGGTTTAAACGGTTTTTATACTTCGATTTATATGGTTTTGTACATAGATACGGTTCGATTTCAGTAATAACCATTTAATTTCGGTTTGGTTTCGGTAATAACCAAAATAACCAAAGTTGGCGCGAGCTTTTGAACAACAAAAAATTTTGTGGTCACGTGATTAGGTCTGTGTATGTAGGTTAGATTTTTCTTGTGTGAATTGTGTACTTACATAGGATCGTTAGATGGCAGACATGATTGGTAGCAAATATGAGGGATTAGGCAGGTTTCGAGGGTCTATGTGATTTGGTCGTAGGCATTAGAATTTAGATGGCAGTACACGAGGGAGCAAGCAGAAAAAAAAGGAAAGAACGTCAATCCTGCACATCTCCCACGGCCACGAAGCCACAACCCACCTTGTTGCCAAAACAAAAGCCATGACCCACTTAGTGGGACCCTCTCCAAGCCGATCATCCTGAGTATCGACAAAGGCGATCGACAGATTGTTTTTTCTTTGAGAGAAAATTGTTTTTTTAGTTTGATTGACGGGATCTCTACTCCTAACTAGCTAAGTGTCCGTGCGTTGGCACGGATTAACAAATATATATATACAAAGAGAAAATTCATGTGACATGAGAGTCAAAGGTCATTTCTATGGGATGATATCTCATGGTCATGATCTAGTAGATACATACATCTCGTCATTGTCTTTCTTCCATACTCCATGTCTGAGCTACCACGCGACATTCGACTTCCTTCTCCCACCATGCATGCTTTTATCTCCTATTTCTCCTACCTTTACCTTACACGACAGTATCAAGTTTCTTGTCCAACTATCATAATCTTCTCCGGTAGGGCACCCCCTTAGATTATTACTGACTTGTACATGTTGCAAATAAGATCAACGAAAATGGATACTAAATTTCTGATGAGAAATGAGAATTCAGGGCAATATCTTCCCAAGACAATAATAATTTCAAGACAATCTTTTTATACCTTCTGTCAACATTGGGACACACATTCCACACAATAAGCATGCAATGATGTTGATACTTGATTAATTGTCATTATATGTCTACAGTAAAGATAACTTTACTCAAAACCGCCTATCTTAGCCAAATCAACAAATCTCTCTCATTAATGCAATTTTCTTTAGAAAACAAATAATAGATTCTTGCCTATCTTAGCCAAATCAACGGATCTCTTTCATTAATGCAATTTGCTTTAGCAAACAAATAATAGATTCTTTCCTACCTTAGCCAAATCAACGGATCTCTCCCATTAATGCAATTTGCTTTAGCAAACAAATAATAGATTCTTTCCTACCTTAGCCAAATCAATGGATCTCTCCCCGGTTCGCTGGGCGCGTTTCGGTGGGTGGGCGTGGGGGTGGGGGTAATTTGATGGAAATAAACCGGTTGAAAATAAACCGGTTGAAAATAAACGGATCCTGTCTCACTCTTCACTTTCTTTACAATAAACTTCAGAATAGCAATCTTGGCGAGTGATCTCGACGGGGTTCAATCGGCGTGGCGCACCGCTGATTCTTCCAGGAGTGGGTGCTGAGAGGAAGGATCCCAAACCTCCATTGTCAATCGGCCAGAGCTGCATCGTCCTTTGGATCAGAGCGTGGACGGGATCAAGACGGTAGGGTTTGAGGAATTTGTAGGACATGAGGGTTTATGGTTGGCAGCACGAGAACTCACCCATATCTTGGCAGACGGTAGGCCCGAGGTGCGGTCGTGTTCATGCTTCGGGAGCTGCCACATGCTGTCCTCGCCGCCATCAGCGACACCACCGCCATCGCCTGTTGCCACCACTTCAGCGCCACGAGCGTGGGACCGAGGGACGAAGGGAAGGGAAGGAAGTGAATTGACGTACCTATGTTTGGTATATATCACACGAGGAATCAAAACTGGATGCACGTGAAAGCATAGAGATGGGAGAGGAGGACAGAGGAAGGGAAGGGCAAGAGGAACCTGAGGATGTGCGATGAAGGAGCGATGCCAAAACATCACAAAGGGGGACCCGTAGCTCGTCACTTAGCGCGGCCGCCTCATTGCCGGCTGCCACCCCGCGCTACCGCCTCCGTGCGCAGGTTCCATTCGTGGAGCGTGAGGAGCGCATGACCTGCCTTCACCGCGGCCTGGTCCTCCCCACTATCGTGAAGCTCGCCCGCATCGCCGCCCCAATTGCTCAGGATGACGGATGAAGATCCTGCAACAGCGACGTGGGTGAGGGATGCATCCGACGATGGAGGGATGATTTTCGTGGCTAAACCCTCCCTATCAAAATAACTACTTAAAAAAGGCAAAGATCGATGCATTAGGAAAATTAGGATTTGGAATTGATTGTCATAAAACAAAATTTTATTAATTGATAACGTGCTATCGGTACATGCCCGTTTATAACGTGTCTAGTTAGGAAACTTTGGAAAAGTTAGGAAAGTTTTTATTGTGAGGGTAAAAAAATCAATGTGAGGAGATATGGTGGTGGGATATGAGACGAAAATAAACCGGACGAAAATGAACCAGACAAAATATAACCAGACGAAAATAAACCGTGGACGCAATCCTACCAACTGCTCCATTAGGAGTAGAGATTAGGAGTAGAGATGGACGAGTTGGTTGAATACTCCTCCCACTTTCGTCTGGTTTTTTTCGTCCGGTTTATTTTCGTCTCACGTCCCACCACCACTCCCACGTTAATTTTTTCTTCTTCACACTTAAAACCGAATCGTGTCTGATTCTCCTTCCATTTATTCGTGCTTGCTTTGGCAGGTATCGATTTAATTCAATCATGTAAATATTTGGTAATTAAGAATTCAAAAATAATACCATATACAGGAGATCACCTTCCAAACAAATCACCTCCCTCTCCGATTTATTTCTCCCACCGATCTCCTTCCATACTTAGCTCCGCTCGGAAAAAAATACAACCATCGAAGCCACCGATCTCTTTCCATACTTAGCTCCACCTTCGCTCCCTCCCACACACTTTTACGTAGCCCAAGAAATCCTCTCACACGATCCTCGCAATAACTACAGAATATATCCTTCCCCAATTATCGCTTTCCTTGCCCGAGCGAGATCGTGGTCCCTTCTCCCCTCCCTCCCACAGCTCGCTCAGGTTTTCTTCCGCTACACCTATCCTCTTCCGGCCTCTTCCTGGAGCCCTTGGCTTCGTGCTCGTAGGAATCGGAGGCGGTGACGCTCGACGTTGTCACGTCGAGGCTGGATCTAGGGGACAGGCAGGCGGCGCTCGTCACGGGAAGAGGAGCATGTAACTCATGGAGTCAAAGCTTGTGTGGGGCCGTTTGGCGACGCTCAACCGTGGCGGGGAGGCGAGGACGCGTGAACGCATATGTGCCTGCTCGCCGAGCGTCGCGACGTTGACGGGCTGGGACTTGATGTCGAGGCCCTCCGCTTCCTGCACCTCTTCGTGTCGATGGCCAGAGGCACACACCGGTACTAGAAACACGATGGCCAGAGGTATACCGTTACTGGAAACACAATCCTGAATCTCTTCCGTGTATGTTCCCAAGGGTGTGTGTTTAGTTGTTTACCTCGTATCTTATCTTTGTCTATAGTCACCAATAGGATTAGAAGTCTGACTGCGCAGAATCTGTATTAAACAGTACATGCCCTTATTATTTCTAACATAAAATCTTGTTTTGTTGACAGTAAGCAACCACCTAATTTTAGGAAGTACCGTGTGGTGGCAAAAAAACTGATATTCAAGACTTCGTTTTCTACAGATGATGATCCAAAATGCATAGAAACATGGGTAGAGATGGGAAACTGTGAAAGCGATGGGAACTATCTGGTACGAACAGTGTCATCATCTTATAATGCTTCATCTATGTACACCATAATGATGCATCTTACGTATCTATCTATTGTATCTAAAACCTTAATGCAATTAACTGTTGATTTTGCCCTATAACAGGAATACAGGATTGAGCGATCTAGCAGATACTTATGAACTTCTAAAGCTCGGTTGTTCAGATTATCATGGATGAGATGATAAGGAAGCGCCTGATATAGTAAGTGTCGATCTTCCGGTCTTGGCATTTTTAGATTCCTTGAGGTAGCTCAACAAATTTGCTGCAATTCTTTGTAGGATCATTTCGCAGATTTTACTGAAATGGTACCTGGTTTGAATTTGGTTATTTCCTCTAT